CTATTGATTTTTTGTTTCCAAAAAAATATGAAAGTGAGCTTTGTCAACGTCTTTTCGTCTTCTTTGACCTTCCATGGATACAGAGAACTTGATGCACCAGGATGTTTTTTTGTTTCTTCTTCTTCTTCTTTAACCTCAAAATATTTTAAGAAATGGCGCCAACACTTGTCTTGAGTACTTGAGCAACAATTGCGATTCCTTCTACCGTACAACTTCTTGATTACTCCCTGTTCAAATTTAAATTATTTTCTTTTACGAAAAAATGATACAAACTGAACTGGAAGAAAGGGAAAAAAGCTTACAAGTGCAGTTTTAGAAAAACTAGTGGGAATTGATAGAGTCAATGTGTTTGGATGAGACATCCAAAGTAAGTTATCAATAATATATCTCATCAAATGTTCCTCTTGATATTTGAGTTTGTTCATGTCTAGCTTTAAGTGTTTGATATAATGTAGCGGCTGTGTTGGAGCTCGTCCGCTTGGCTTGCTACTAGGATGACATAAACTTGTCTTCATACATAGCAAGAAGATGATTCATCAATGGTACATATATAATATATAAAATTATAAAGAGCATAGTTAACAAAGATGATTAATTAAGAGATTTAATGTACCTTAATGCGTATCTCCAATGTTGTATTGTGGTTGCTAAAATTCTCAAGATGACTTCTCCATTTGAGGAACCAAGCTCTTGTCATGATCTCACAAAGTTTAGGAACCAATACAATAGTATAGTTGGTCTCCAAAAGTTTTGAAGGAGCTAAATATGGTTGAAATGTTATACCCTTATATTGGAAATAAGACAAATTTGGAGATGAAACTAGAGTTTTTCTTGTACATTCATACATCTTTGGGATGGATAAGATCAATTTTCTGACCGAAGTTCTTATAGGCTTCTTCTTTGTCCGACAAGGGCCAAGTAACAAAGTTTCAAGATGAGGAAAATCTGAACAGAGATTTCGAGGATCAAGACCATTAGGAAATCTGGTACAATTCAAGTGAAATTCCCGCAACATTTTGCAAGCACGAATATCCATGGTAACAACGTTTTTGGATTCAGGATACTTATTTCGTAAAATGAAATGGAAGACTTGTAACCTCGGGGCAATAACTTGTATGTTTGTAAAAGAAGATGGTATGTTTGTAAAAGAAGATGAATCACTAACGTTCACATAAAGCTTCTCCAAACAAGCTAAGTTAGTTAATACTATAGAGTTTATCCCCCAACATTTGACCATACTCAATACTCTAATATTAGGGAACTTGTGAATAAATTTGGATAGTGTTTCTTCAGATAAGTTGAACCATTCCAATTTCAACTCTTTCAAAGTGGGCATTGTTACTTCTTCATCACATAACCCATGCTTATCAAGATAACATTTGACCAAACTCAATACTCTAATATTAGGGAACTTATGAATATATTTAGATAGTGTTTCTTCAGATAAGTTGAAATATTTCAACTTCAACTCTTTCAAAGTGGGAATTGTTACTTCATCACATAACACATGCTTATCAAGATAACCTTTATTTAAATGAAGAACATTAAGACATTTCGACTGCAAAATATAGGGAAAATTATACTCATATTCAGTAGTGCGAAAATAGACCTCATGGAAATTGTATTCCTCCAACAATTTCATTATATCGCGGACGCGTTTGCCATTGATAAACTCAACGTGCAACACTCTTTTCTCAGCATTGATCAACTTGTTTTTGATAGTGTCGATAGAAGAACGGATAGAATCCCAGAGTTCGAATTGGTTAAGTGAGTAATAAGTTGGATTTTTATCTCGGAAAAGACATTCATTGAAGTGGATTTTGAAGTATGTTGGTGTGTTGAGATACCAATTTTTGTTTACAAGGCGTACATGAAACAGGTCATGAAAAGTGAGGTAGGAAAATATGTAGTGGAGGATATGATGAGGCAATTGTAAGGCTGGATCAACTAAATTTGGTGAATTATCTTCAGCTGCAGTCTGAGTAATGATGAAGAGTTCATCTTCATAAGCCATGCTGTGGAAACTCAAAACACTAACACAAAACCCTAACTAGGTTTATTTGGAGGAAAATCTATGGTATAACACTTAACGATCCCAATATATATATGGGCTTTTCTTCTAACAATTTTATTATCTAATTACACGGATAAACTATTTTATTTTATTTTATTTTATAACATATTATTGAACATACAATCCATACACATATCCCTTAAAACTAGGATTGATTAATTATCTGTAACTATTTTGATTAAAAAGAAATATATTTCTCTGAAAGAGTATGAGTTGGGGTAAAACTCAAATACCAACTTTTTCTTTGCTTTAGAAGTAACATTTTGAGATGTATCTGAATTTCACCAAATTTAAAAGACTTCTGTAATTTGAAAAAGAATGGAAATAGAATATTATTAGCTCTTGATTTATAAAAATTCCCTTTCTTTAATAGAAATTTACTAGGACTAAATGTATATATAAGAAATTTTGCATCCGGTGATTATTCAGTTTGTTTTTTATTTGCTTCCATCTCTATTGGATATTTATTTTGAGTTCTAATGAGCTCGAATCATCACTTTTCAATCAAAAAGCAATTTTATATTGTAGTCTCACATTAGAGGCACTAATCATGCATTTAGTCATAGTGAAATTTGAAAAAACAGGTTTTATTTATTAAAATAAAACATGATATTTGAAATTTGAAGTTCTTGACTTTAAATACAAATTGAAATTGTTTTCAACTTTTTGCAAAGAGAAGAGAACAAAAAGAAACCACAAAAATAAAAGGAGAGTTGCCTATCTATTGAATTTTCCAAGTGAATGTGAAAATTAACTTGTCCTTCTTCTCATTACTATCTTCTTTGACCTGTCCTGGTCCTAGAGGGACATAGTGGAAGTTTAATGCATCGAGCTTTTCTTTTTCTTCTTTCCTTTTAACCCTCGAAATGTTTTAAGAAATGGCGCCAACACTTATCTTGTGTACTCCAGCAACACCTCTACAAACAACTTCATGCTTATTTCCTGTTCAAAATTAAATTTATTTCAAATAACTAGATGTATCATTCTTTTGTTAAGACGCCCACACATGAAGGGAAAGCGTTGGAGAAAAACTAGTCGGTACTAATAGAGTCAATGTGTTTGGATGAGACATCCAAAGTAAGTTATCAATAATATATCCCATCAAATATGCCTGTTGATATTTGAGCTTGTACATGTCTACCATTAAGTGTTTGATATGATGTAGCGGCTGTGTTGGAGCTTGGCGTGCCTTTAGGATGTCCACATGAACTTGTCTTCATGCACAGTAAGAAGATGATTCATCAATATAAATAACAAATAAAAGATTGAATATGTGTGTTAAATGTACCTCTTTGAGAATACACAAGTCCAATGTTGTATTGTAGTTGCTAAAATTCTCAAGATGACTTCTCAATTTATGGAACCAAGCTCTATTCATGATCTCAGGGACTTTAGGAACCAATACTATATTATTGTTGTTCTCTAAAAGCTCACTTGGAGAAGGTGAAATGTTGTATCCTGATATTGGAAAGAAGATGAATTTATACTTCTTCTTGAACATTCATATAATTGTGGGAAGGACAAGATCCATTTTTTGAGTGATGAATCAGAAATTTTGATAGGCTTCTCTGTTTGACAAGGTCCTATTAACAAAGTTTCGAGATGAGGAAAATCTGAACAGAAGTTGTGACCATTAGGAAATTTCCAACAATCCAAGTGAAATTCCCGCATCATTTTACAAGAACGTATATCCATGTTAACAGGTACAACATCTCTGCTTTCATAACTCCGTAAAACGAAATGGAAAACTTGTAAAATTGGGGCAACAATTTGTATGTTTGTAAAAGAACAACTGAGGTGTACATAAAGTTTCTTCAAACAATCCAACTTAGTTAATACGATAAAGCTTAGCCTCAAGCAAAATATCAAACTCGATTCTCTAATATTAGGGAACTTGCTAGTAAAAATGGATAGTATTTTTTCAGATAACAAAACGCCTTCCAATTTCAACACTTGCAAAGAGGGGATTATTTCTTCACCACGTATCGCATGCTTATAAAGTCCACAATTAGTTAAATGAAGAACAGTAAGATATTTCGACTGAAAAAAACAGGGCAAATAGGAACAGAACCATGGAACATTTAATAACTCAAATTTCAAATAAACCTCATGGAAATCGTTTTCGTCGAGCAATTTTATTATATCGTGGATATCCCCGTGATCATTGAATTGAACACGCAATGCTTTTTTCTCAGCATTAATCAACTTACTAGAAGAACGAATTGATTTCCAATTATCGTAATGCGAGTATGTAGTTGGATTTTTTCACTGTAAACGGATTGATTATAGTTTATAGCAAAGTGTGATGATGGTGTATTATGATGCCATCTTTTGCAGACAAGGGGATATGAAGCAGATCGTGAAAATTAAGGCAACAAAAAATGGAATGAAGAAGATGATCAGGCAATTGTAAAGTTGAATCTACTGAATTTGTTAGGATATCCTTAATTGTTTGAGAAATGAGGAAGAGCTCATGACCATGAGCCATGACTGAAACAGTAAGACGGTAACACAAATCTAGGTTAATGGGCAAGAGTTATATGGTATTTTTGAGCCCAATTAAAATATATGGGCTTCACAAACAAGTGATTGCACCGATAATATATCTCTTATGTATATGTATCAATGGTTGTGTATATATATTTGCATGAAATTTGTATTTAATTGAATTAAATTAAAACATTTGTATATCAAATCTCTCTTTCTCACTTTATACGATACAAATTATATATTGTAATTTGTATAATTTAGTTTGTTAAGTGAGAAAGAGAGAGACAAAAAAAAAACAAGTGCGACAACGAAACGAGATTCAAGAGCGACAAACGAAATTTTCTGAATGACAATATGTACATTTATTATAATTAATTAATAACTATAACCCATCATTTTTCCAATAATGTATGTGCACACACTTGTTAGTGAAAACCATATATTTAATTGGGCTCAAAATTACCATATATAACTGTTGCTCTTTGCTCACTCAAATTAACCTATATGTTTCGTGTTGCCGTTTTAGTTTACACACCATGACTTATGGTAAAGAACTCTTTCTCATTTCTCAAACAGTTAAAGAAAATTTCAGTAGATCCAACCTTACAATTGCCCGATCATCTTCTCTATTCCATTTTTTTCCTGCCTTAATTTTCACGATCTACTCCATGTCTGCCTTGTTTCCAAAAAAAAAAGGGCATGTTTCACACTTGGCTTTAACCTTTGATGAATCCGTTTTCGGTGAAAAAAATCCAACTACATACTCGTATAACAAGTTTTGGAAGTCAGTTCGTTTTTCTCTGGATGCTTCTAAAAATAAGTTGATCAATGCTGAGAAAAGAGCATTGCGTGTTCAATTCAATAATCATGGGGATCTCCACGATATGATGAAATTGCTCGACGGAAACGATTTTCAGGAGGATTACTTGAAAATTGAGTCATTTGTTCCGAGGTATGGCAGCTATTTGCCCCATATTTTTCCGTCGAAATGTCTTACTATACTACAGTTAACTACTTGTGGACTTGTGTTATGTGGTGTAGAAATAATTCCCTCTTTACAATAGTTGAAATTGGAAGGTGTTATGTTATCTGAAAAATATTAGATATTTGAATTTGATGTTTTCTTGAGGATGAATAACTAAGTTGGATCCTCTGGAGAAGCTTTATATACACCTTAGTCATTTTCATTCTTTTACGGAGATGCAAGTTGTTGCCCCGATTTCACAAGTTTTCATTTCGTTTTGGGGTAATGAAAGCAGAGATGTTACTCTTAACATGGATATATACTCTTGTAAGATGTTGCGGGAATTTTACTTGGATTGTTGGAAATTTCCTAAAGGTCTTGATTCTGACAACTTATGTTCAGATTTCCTCATCTTGAAACTTTGTTAATAGGACCTTGTCAAACAGAGAAGCCTATCAAAATTTCAGCTTCATCCCTCCTAACATGGATGTTATCCTTTCCACAACTATATGAATGTTCAAGAACAAGTATAGATTCATCTCCAAATTCAATCGTACCACTGTTAAGCTTAATGGGTTTACAAACCATTCTGCGTCTAAATCATCAATAGTACCACTGTTGAACTTAAAAGGCTCACAAACTATTCTACGCCTAAATTAAGAATCTATATTTTGTGGACGTTACATAGTATATTTTTCTTAATCTCAAGCACAAAATGAGCTTTTTGTTGTGTCTATCCTTCTCTTTTTTCAGATAGACTATACCTTCGAAGAAATTTTTTTTATTCACTCAAAGAATGAAGTTAGATAATGCAAAATATATGGTATATTTTGCATTTACTCAAAACACATCTTTAAGGGAAAATATATGGTATAATTTGCGTTTACTCAAAACACATGTCTTAAGACAATATATAATATAATCTGCATTTACTCCAAAACACATATATATATGTCTTACTACAAAGTATCTCAATTTGGCTAACAGAAAAGAAACTGACCTAACGTACTAAGTGTCAAGTAAATGTGAAATTGAACTTCTTTGTCTCTGCCATTTCATTCATAACTTGCTCCCTAACCTTGAAATCCTTTAGGAAATGGCGCCAACACTTGTTCTGGGTATCTGCACAACAGTTGCCTTTCCTTCTGCTCATGAGAAACTCATTGCAGATTTACTGCGCAAATAAGCAAATGATATGAGAAACAATTGAACACCTATATTCAAACTTTCGAATTTCAAATAATTAACAATTTAAAATATTTTTTATAAAATAAAAGAATTCTAATAAAATAAAAATTTAATCAACTCTCAAGATTCATATGATGCAACATATAAATTGGGGGTAAAAGTACATAATTCTTTGAGTGGTGCATTATTAGTCCTTATTTATCCACTTGTCATTTTATAGTTATCTCTTTTTACTTATCCATTTTGACAAATCAAGAAAAGAAAAATTGATCTATTATATCCTTAATAAATTATTTTGAAAAAGGTGGATTTTTTAAAATATTGAATTTTTAATTCATCCACTTCATAATGAATAGAAATAAAATGGTAAACACAATAAATGGGCGATATTAAAGTGGGACATTTTTATTTTATAACTCTAACTAGAATTAGTTTTTAGCAAAAAATATTTCGGAGGCATGATCTGCAGCTCGATCAGATGGGCTTGCCGATTCTAATGCATTAACAATCTTTTTGGGCTCCTTTTACAATGGCCCAAAACTTTGCTAATGACATAAATACAAATCAATTATATCAACACGATAATTATATACAAGCTAGGCTAAGCATATACAAATTTTGAACCTATACCATTATACATCGAATTATACAACCCCTGCCTAGGGAAAAAGTACACTAGAAGATTTTCACAAGGATAGAACATTGGAGCAACAAAAAAATAATCACATTACTTTGTCTGTGAATTAGACCAGAAATATATCGTACCCTCAAAGACTGAAACTAATCTCTGTGATTGAGATTCAATAGTACCACAACCACTGTTGAACTTAAAAGATTTACAATGAATTCCAATGGCGCCACCACTTGTTCTGAGTATTTGCACAACAGTTGTCTTCCCTTCTGCTGATCAAAAACTCATTACAGATTTTGTGCAAATGATAAGAGGAATTTAGATTTAAAACCTCTAAAGACAAAATGGAAAACCAAAAATTATATATAAATGTTTGAGATCATTACAAGTGCAAATGACATAACTAGCTGACATTGCTAGAGTCAATGAATTTGGATGAGACATCCAAAGTAAGTTATTAATTGTATATTTCAGTAAGTATCCATAGGATTCTTTTGGAACTCAAGCCTTATGTCTAGCTTGAAGTGTTCGATGTGAGGTATCACTTGCGTTGGACTTTGTCCAATTGGTATGCTCCAGAATTTATGTCCCTCGTTTGGTCAATTCAGAAAAAATGTCTTCATAAGGTTTTGTTTGAAAATTTTGTTTTCTTGATTACATTAGCAGAAATTAGCATTGCGAGGAGGGTTATAAAATGTATACATTTATTTAACGAATTTTGGGATGAATGATCTTCTTTCGATTTGTGTATTACTCAAAAGCAAAGTAGACAAAAACTTGTCTTCATTATTCATGCATTGTAAGAAGATGTTTATAGCCAGTACGATGAAAATAATTGTGATATGTTAACAGATCTAAAGTATGTTTATGTACCTGATCATGAATGGTGAAGGTCAATCCAATACGATTGTTGAGTTTCGTAAGATGACTTCTAATTGGAGGAACCAAACTCTATTGATCTTCTCAACATGAGGAATCAAAAAATGTTGATGGTGTTCAACAACTTTTGAGTTTCACTCGGAGCTAAAAATGATTTAAATGTTCTACCAACGTATTGGAAAGAACATAAATTTAGAACTAAAACAACACTTTTCCTTGAAGTATTATAATTATACAGTTGTGTGAATATCAAGGTTAATTTCCTAAGTGATGGACTTGAAATTTTGACACACTTAGATATCTCACAAGGACCAAGGACCAGATTTTCAAGATGAGGGAAATCTGAGATGAAGTGTTCATTATCAAAACCAACTGGAAATTCCCGCACCATTCTACAAGCACGAATATTCATATTAACGGCAACATTGCATCTATTAAAGTGAACAAAATGGAATACTTGTAAACTCGGAGCAATAACTTGTGGAGCATATCAATTGGGAGAATTCCAACACAAGCGGTACCTCATATCGAACACTTAAAGCTAGACATAAGGTTCAAAGTTTTAGAAGAATCCCATAGATCCTTGCTGAAAATATATAATTAATAACTTACTTTTGATGTCTCATCCAAATGTATTGACTATATCAATGTCAACTAGTTTTGCTGCATTTGCACTAGTAATGTTCTCAAACATATATTTACATTGTTTTCCATTTTCTCTTCAAGGTTTTTAATATAATTTTTCTCATATCATTTGCTTATTTGCGCAGGAAATCTACAATGAGTATCTCATAAGCAGAAGGAAAGACAACTCTTCTGCAGATTCCCAGAACAAGTGTTGGCGCCATTTCAAGGTTAGGGAGCGAGTTACGAATGAAAAAGCACAGACAAAGAAGTTCAATTTCATATTTACTTGGCAATTATTAAGTTAGGTCACTCTCTTTTCTGTTGGCCAAATTGAGATAATTTATAGTAAGACATGTGTTTTGGAGTAAATGCAAATTATACTATATATTGTCTTAAGACATGTGTTTTGAGTAAAATGCAAATTATACCATATATTTTGCCTTAAAGACATGTGTTTCAAGTAAATGCAAATTATACCATATATTTTGCCTTATCTAACTTCATTCTTTGCGTGAATTAAAAAAAGTTCGAATGTGTAGTCTATCTCAAAAAAGAGAAGGATAGACACAACAAAAAGCTCTTTTTGTGCTTGAGATTAAGAAACATATACTTGTATGTAACGTCCACAAAATATCTATTTTTTATACAGGCGTAGAATAGTTTGTGAACCTTTTAAGTTCAACAGTGGTACTATTGATGATTTATGAACCAATTAAGTTCAATAGTGGTATTATTGAATCAAGGAAACATAATAGTTTGAGCCTTTGAGGGTAAGATTTATTTCTAGTCCAATTGAGAGACAAAGTAATGTGATTTTATTTTTGTTCTCCAATTTGCTCTCCATGTAAAAATCTTCTGGTGTACTTGTCCTCTCGCCATGACAGAAACACATTTGCCTACGACAAGCATAGGCTAGGATATATTAATGCACCTACTGAAGTAAAAACTCCCCTAGTAGATAGTAAACATCATTCTGATTGCTTATAATAGTGTTGATCTTTTTTGATAGTTGTGAAGAAGCAGAAGAGGATTATGCTTTTATTGAAACATAGAATCCAACTTGGAAGCCTCTGAATAAACTTAGTGAGATTAGGGGAAGATTTGTTTGCATTCTATCCTCCTCAAATCTCAAAGGCAATGCATGATTTGGGGGGTTTTCTGTCATCTGATTTCAGTTTCCTAGGCCACGCCATGGCTGAGTTCAGACACGTGTTTTGCTAATTTGGAAGAAATTGAATTAGATAACGTCCATTTAACGGGAGAAACCATGTCAATGATGTATATTAGTAAGTACAATTCACTAGTTAAATGGACGTGAAGATTTAGTGTACCTCTTCACGAACACATATGTCCAATGTTGTATTGTAGTTGCTAAAATTCTCAAGATGACTTCTCAACTTGTGGAACCAATCTCTATTCATGATCTCATTGACATTAGGAACCAATACAATATTATTGTTGTTCTCTAAAACCTCACTTGGAGGAGCTAAATATGATTGAAATGTTGTATCCTAATATTGGTAAGAAGACAAATTTGGAGATGAATTTATACCTCTTCTTGAACAATCATATAGTTGTATTCTGGTTGCTAAAACTCTGAATGTGAGGGACCAAGCTCTATAAACCAACCATGTCATGAATTTTAGGAACCAATACAAAATATTATTATAGCTCACAATTCAAATGAAATTCCCGAACCATTTTACAAGCACGGTTATCCATGTTAGTATCAACGGGAAATGAAATGGAAAACTTGTAAACGGATGTATTCGCCATTGATAAACAGAGCGTGCAATGCTCTTTTCTCAGCATTGATTAACTATGGAGGGGCAATTGTAACGCTGGATCTACTAAATTTGGTGGATGATTATCTTCAATTGTTTGACAAATGATGAAGAGTTCAGCAGCAGCAGCCGTGCTGTGGAAACACAAAACCCTAACTAGGTTGATTTGAGGATAATTTTGAAAGAAAAAAAAAATGAAGCCCATATACGTAAAAGATCATGTTGAGCCCAATCAAATACTCCATGGGCTTCACCGTTTTGCACAGACCCTCCCCCCGAAATTGGACAATTTTTAATGTTTACTGTTATTTTGAGATCTTTAATAATATATTTGTCCACTTGACCAAATTTTAAGTTATTGTTATCACTAATTATAATCATATTTTTATTAGTATATTTTGTAAGATATTATATTTATTACATTTAGCGAGATATATAATTATTTTACTTGTAATTTTTTAAAAAGTGTGTAAAGTTAATTGTAAAAATACATTGTTGAACATGGAGTAATTTATATTGTTTAGATAGAGTGATTTCTAATTTTTGTCTCCAAATATATCATTAAAAATTTATTTCCCTAAGTTTTAAGTTTACTGGGCAAACTTTTTTATAGGTATTTGCCCCAAAAAATAAGTTGTAATCTAATTCGCAATTCAAATCTTTTCTTATTTAATTTTTCATAAAAAGTATATAGTCCATATTTATAATTTTAAATCAATAACGTCAGTGACGATTAGAGTCGTTAATATGGGCTAGTTTACCCATACGGCTTTGATATTTTACGGGTCAGATCGGTCTAGCCCATTTTTGGCGTGGGCCAGAAAATTATCAGCCTAACTCACAAGTACGTGGGCTACAAGCTTAACGGGTCAGACCACTTTTTTAGAAAAATATATATTTTTTTATAAGATTAAATTAAGTTTTAAATTATAATTTAAAATATTGTCATAAATAACAACAAAACAATATTACATATGATGTTAATGTTAGTACTTGTTAATCGAATCAAAATAAAATTATTTTTATAATATTTATTAGGGATAATTTCAGAGACCTCCATGTTTCGCTCTATAACACTCACCTCCCCTTTGGTTTACGATATTACGTTTACCTCCCTTATTTTCATTTACTTGTAACAATTCTTTAAACCTATTTAAAATAAATATAAATTAATATAGATTTGACAATTTTACTTTTTTTATATAAATTTCTTCTTATTAATAAATATTATATAAAAAATAACTTATTGAACAAATACTTTAAAAATAAATTAACACAAAACCTTATTTGTTTAAACCAACAAAAATCAAACTCTTCAACTAAGCTGACCCATATTCTCACCAAATATTAAATCTTTATCTCTATTTCACATTTATCTATTCACGTAAATTTTTTCCCCACAATAACCCATCATTTTCCGGCAATAATTTCTTCAAATAGAAGACAAAATTGAACTTCCCAAGAAATAAATTCGATAAGAACAATAAGATTTTGTTTCAGTTAAACATTTACACACCCAAAAAGAAACATGATCCAACGAATAGAGATAAATCATTAAAAATTAGATCTAAATATTCATATATAAAGGTAAATTTGTCAAACTAAATTAATTATATTTATTTAAATATGTTTAAAGAATGGTTACAAGAAAATGAAAATAAGAGAGGTAGACGTAATATCGTAAACCATAAGGAAGGTGAGCGTTATAGAGCGAAGCCTGGAGGGAGATCTCTGAAATTATCTCTATTGATTAAGTTTTTTTTCAAGTAAAAATATAAATATATAAATAAAAATATTAACCTAATTATTTTGAATTTGGACTCTCTTTAATTTTGAATTTTAATATTATATTATATTTTTAATTAATTATTATTGGCCCACGGGCCGGCCCTACCTATATTTTTCAAGCCTATTAAACCAACAAGCTTATTCAGGCCGGGCTAAAAGGTTTTTTTTTCTTAAATGAGCTTCAAAAATCTTAGCACAACCTTATTAAATATCGGGTTAGGCCAAGCCGGCCCAACGAATCTAGCCCATATTGACGGCTCTAGTGATGATTATTATTTTTTTTTAAAAATCTTTATCTCATATTATAATATTTGTCTCTAAAGTAACTTTAACTACGTTTTAATTTTACCGAACAAATCTTTTTATAGGATATTTATCAAAAAAAAAAATTAGTGTTATCTAACCCGCAATACAAATCTCCATGAAATGCGTCCATATTTGAAAATTGAATCAACAATGCTAGTGATTATCCACGTTTTTTAATTTTTATCTCATATTTATATAATTTGAAAGTTTAATTAATTTGAGTTCACTAGTATTTTCTTCTTATCAAAAAGAGATTTTATATTCGGTATATTTTTTTTTGTATATAATTCATACGAATTTGCTTATGTTTATTATGCTGATAACAAAATATTTATCACTATTTATAGGATATATTTGTGATTATCCCACGTGCTACACACTAAACCGTACGGAAATTTTATTTTTAATGTCTCTTTTGTTGTATGAATGGTGTGTCCCTTAGCTCCTCTATTTTTTGGTTCGTCATCCTCTTTGTTCACCAAATATCTCTCTCCTCCATTTTCGCCTTTCACAGGCGCCACCCACCCACACAGGCAACTCTCTCTCTCTTTCTAATCCTATTATTTTTCCATAATTACATACTCCGTGTTTGTTAGCTCTTTCTTTTATCATCATCATGTTTATATTTAGTAATATCAAATACATATATATGTAAAAACTATGTGTTTATAGGTATTATCATAGAGATCTCAAGTGTTTGATATACTATTTTCTTCTTTGTTACTTCAGCTTTTTGGATCTGTTGTTCAAAAACGAAAAAGGAAAAAAAATGAATAGGTGTGGTTATCAGCAAAAGGCCTTGATGGGTGGTTGTGATGGTGTTGGAGAAATTAGACGGCGAGATATTTCTGTTTCTGATGGTCTTGTTTGTCCCAAGCCTCGCCGGAATGGGCTTTCCAATGAACCTATCAAACCTTCTAGATTCCTCCAAATCAAGTAGGTTTATACAACTTTTTTTTGTTGCTGTTTTAATTTCTCCGTTTTTTCCCCCTTTTGTTAATTTGGTTTTGGTGTTTCTGTTGCAGTAATCAGCAACCGGAGGGTTGCGATTTGAAAGCCGGAACTGAACTTCTGGATATCATCCTCAGCAAGGTAAAATTTATGCGTTTTATGATCTAGTTTGTGATGTGAACTGATTGAAATTCATATTGATGCTTTATTATTTTTTATTTTGGTAAACAGGGGAATTTCGATATGGAAACGCCCAATTTTGATATGGCTTCATCTCCACCGTTTTTTTTCGGATCTCCACCGAGTAGGGCATCGAATCCCCTGATTCAGGATTCACAGTTCAGCAACAAAAATTTTGTTCCTATACTAGCAATTCCAGAAGCTGCACCTTCTCCACCACAATCTTCTGCTTCCACTCGTAAGAGCGGAGGAGGCTGTGCTCCGGTGAAATTCCGGATCAAGCCAGCTACTGTGAGGATTGAAGGCTTCAATTGCCGCAGCAGCATCTCTGCTTTCGCTTAGGTAAAACCAGAAACCAACCAAAAACAATAAAAATTTGAGATTTTTGGGATGAGATGAGTTACCATAACGAATTCGTTTTAGTCTTTGTACATATAGAGTGAAAAAAAGAGAGTCATCATTCAACTCCGGTTTGTGAATATGTTTATTAGGTGATGAATGAGTGTTCATTTGATATCGGAAAATAAATACTTTTAGTATAAACCCAAAGAAGAGCAATAAATCAAAAGATTGTTCTCTTTAGTTTGGGTATTAATTAGGGTTCTTATTTAGCATTAGGCTAAAGTTTGTATTGAGTATCTACTGTAGTGTGAGAGAGACTACAAGAAAGACTTGTTCTTTTGTGACGGTAAAGTTTGTCACTCTTTATCCTTCATTGTAATTGTAATCTGAAGGAGTAATGAAAATGGTCTAATTCTTTATAGCAATATGCTAATTTCTTTGTCAATCTTTGATCATCAATGATGTAGTTTTAAAGTATTAATGTTTGGTCATATGAAAAGGGCGTTATTATCGCCCACTAACTATGTGATTCAGCTTGACGATTTTGTACTTATCTAATTAGATTTGTTTGGTTTAAAGAATTGTTGAAGATGGCAAGTTGGTTGAGGAAAAATATTGAATTTTCATGTGAATGATGGACCCTCACCTAAGATTTAGGGAAGAATAGGTGGTGTGGGGTATTTGTGTTTTGCAGATTGTTGTATTTTAGAGATGGAAGAGTCCTATTTTATTGATTGCTGACTAGTTGCTAGGCTGGCTTTTGGTCATGTGTTGGGTACCACTTTGCTAAGACAAATACACACAATAAAAGAATGGCATATTGGTGGCCCATGCACTTTCCAAGAAGTGTCCTTTTCCAACTATCGTGCACATAACAAAGTGTGAAGAATGCCGTGTGCCGACCATGAGTCGCCACTGTTCACCAATGATAATATCCTTGCCATGTGTTTGCTTTTTTGGATTATGGTTTTAACCCGGGCCATCCCTGACTCATCATGAAGGTCTCGTAGTAGGCAGGATGTTAGTGTTATCCGAAAAATTACCCTTTCATCTTGTTGCCACATGCAACATGTTTTTAGCTGTCGAGTTCATGATCTTGACAATCACAGGTCATAACAACATACTCGATCTTATGAGTAAGTTGTTTGCAGAACTTACTTGCAACAACGTGACATACTCAATGTGATCTTATAAGTGAGGTGTTTCAGAAGTATGTTTTTGCTTGTTTTGGCGGATTTCATGTTGTTTTACCTTTTACTTTTTTACGTCTTTCTTAATGACAACTACATAATCAACCACCAAAATACCCTTATTCTCAACTTTTTGAAAAAAAATAAAAAAGATATTACTCAAAATGGTGGCAAGCATCAAAGCCTTTTGTGCTGTCAAATATGGAGGACAGCATCTACAATTATTTGGTTCAATAATTCGTCTTCTGTTTGCTCTATTTTGAAACTTGCTGTGCATAGACACTTTTTCGTTTCTTTTCTTCCTTTTGAGCGAACATTTTCAATTTTTAGTTCTTAATTGTTATGTGTCAATCGTTCGTCTGATTTGTTACAAAGAGTACTGGTAATGTTTTTTAAGTCGAACGGGTAAGTAGTCTTTTGGATCTTGGCTACTTTACT